TTGAACATGGTAACCGTACACACAGTTGTTTGTTTGTTTGTTTGTTTTGAACATGGTAACCGTACACACAGTGTTTGTTTGTTTGTTTTGAACATGGTAACCGTACACACAGTGTTTGTTTGTTTGTTTGTTTGTTTGTTTGTTTTGAACATGGTAACCGTACAGTCGTTTTAATCAAAGAGCAGAGAATAAAACTAAAGATTAGGTGTCCACTGATAAATCAGCCTGATTAATTTAGTGAAATCAGAAATCTTCCGAGACACGAGAAACTGATTTTACAGATAATCAGTTTTAACAACAATTGTCTGAACTTCAGTTATATTTCAGATCACCGCCTCATGACCAGTTAAAACCAGTTTGTAATGGTTCTTGTTCAAAGGTTTGTGTTTCAGTCAAACAATAATTGAAGGTGCATTGTGACCTTTAACTCCTGACAGAATGTGCAGGTCAGACTTTTCAGGAGTCGGTGATGGTGCAGCAAACTGCGATCGATGCTCCTCTATGAAAACGTGCACGAGCATCTGTTCAGCTCCGGGAGCAAGATGTTTAATCCAGCCCATCAGTATTTATCACGTTTACCAATCCTGATTCCTGCCACACGTACAACAGTCACATTATATTTATGAACACGTGATGTCATCAAATCTGTCTCTACGGTTTGTTCAAACCTGACAGGAACAATGTTTAATTTACAGCTGAAATAAGGGCTTCAGGCGCAGAGAAGTGTGCTGCTGCTGATCCTGTTGGCAGGATCTTTATGTTCATTCATTTCCACTGGTCCAATAGGACACTCACTCACTCACTCACTCACTCACTCACTCACTCACTCACTCACTCACTCACTCACTCACTCACTCACTCACTCACTCACTCACTCATTCAAGCTTTATTTCTACAGGTTAGTCTCATTGAGCCTCAAGGACTCTTTAAAGAGAGAACGGGGGGCGGGTCTGGTTCTGGTCCTGACAGTAAAGCTGAGCTCGTCCAGGACCATAGTTTAAACTTGGTAGTCCTTTCAGAATAAACTACGGTGCAGAGGACGCTCCGAGTTGTTTCTGTTTTTCCTTTGGGAGGGGGTCAGCGGCAGGTGTTGTACTGTAAACAGACGAGGACGGTCTGCTGTGTGTTGGATATCAGAGTCTTTGAGACGAGGACGGTCTGCTGTGTGTTGGATATCAGAGTCTTTGAGACAAGGACTGTCTGCTGTGTGTTGGACATCAGACTATTTGAGACGAGGACTGTCTGCTGTGTGTTGGACATCAGACTATTTGAGACGAGGATGGTCTGCTGTGTGTTGGATATCAGAGTCTTTGAGACGAGGACGGTCTGCTGTGTGTTGGACATGAGAGTCTTTGAGACAAGGACTGTCTGCTGTGTGTTGGACATCAGACTATTTGAGAC